CCGGCCCCCCCCCTAGGACCAGACCCGGCTGGCTGCTTGGATAAATAGGAAACCTTTATATATAAAAATATATATATTTATTTATATATATTTTTTATTAATTACTTAATTTATTTATTTTTCGTATTTATATAAATTATGATGTCATGCAGCCTGTTTCTGTTTTCTGTGCGTGTTTCCAGCAGACCCCAGCAGCCAGCCGGGTCTGGACCTAGGGGGAGCCGGATCCCGCCGGTTACGCACGGCCTACACCAACACGCAACTGCTGGAGTTGGAGAAGGAGTTCCATTTTAACAAGTATTTATGTCGGCCGAGGAGGGTGGAGATCGCCGCGCTGCTGGACCTAACAGAACGGCAGGTGAAGGTCTGGTTCCAGAACCGGAGGATGAAACACAAGCGGCAGACCACCCACCACCGGGACGGCAGCGCAGGGAGCCCGTCCAGCGGCTTCGAGCCGCTCGAAGGCGCGGACGCGTCCTCTCCGTACTCCAGTCAGCCTCTGGAGGCGTCAGGCAGCGGGGAGAGCACAGAGGGGGACCAGGGGTGCGGCAGCATGTCAGCCAGCGGGGACAATGCGCAGCCCACGCTGGAGGACACAGACCGCGTGAGCCTTCCTGAACGCCCACAGCTGCCGGGGACATCTGGCTCCCCGGACTCCCCGCCGTCAGTCATCAGGTCCTCGGAGCACAGTGAGGCTGGGCCCCCTGCAGCCCCCGTGGCCCCGTCGGATCCTCACGGAACCTGCGTGCTGCCGGACCTGACTCTGTTCGGGGAGGACGCCTGCCTGTCCCCCAGCCTGCAGAGCTCCTTGGACAGCCCGGTGGACTTCTCCGAGGAGGACTTCGACTTGTTCACGAGCACACTGTGCACGATAGACCTGCAACACCTGAACTTCTGAAGCCTGCAGCTCGAGAGAGGAGGACATGTTGTTCACTGGAGGAGTAACCATGATTTCTTCATGCTGGAGTCCATCAGAGAACCGAGTTCATTTCATTGTTTCTGTTGCGATCGGACAACAAATCGGATGTTTTCTTCTTCTTTGTGCACTTCAGGAACTAATTTATTGTTTTTGGTTATGTTTTTTTTTTCTTTTTTTTAAAGCCACTGTGCATCTCGATTCCTTTGTGTGAATTAGTTTCTTGTTAGCTGCAGCTTCATGGAACTAAAAACTTCTCAGGAACTGATGAGGAGGACCCCCTGCTGATGACCCGAGGTTTACTCTTCACTTTATTTATTCAGATTCTTTAATAGTGAAAATTCAAATTATTTATTGTACATATATTTTCATAGTGGGATAATACCAATAAAAATATATAAAATATAAAAAATGGTTATTTTTTTTCCCCCTGAAAATGTATGAATCGTAAAATACTTTGAATTATGTTAGATTTTATGTTTAACATAAACTATAAATTAAATACCTTATTTAATTTACATATCATTATTTAAAATATTCCTATTATCTTCATGAAACAAAATGTTCTGTATTTTTTTAATTTGCTTTGAAAGTGTAAGGCAATAAGTTCTTAACTTATACACACACACACACATATAAATATATATATATATATATATTTATATATAGATATATATATATATATA